AATTTTCTGTCAAATTATCACTCCCACCTTCCTCGATTATTTTTTTACATCAATGTAGAAAGCTACACTGTGTGTGTGTGTGTGTGTGTGTGTGTGTGTGTGTGTGTGTGTGTGTGTGTGTGTGTGTGTGTGTGTGTGTGTGTGTATTGCTGTACCCATCCACGCACCTTCTATCTATGCCTGTTGAATCAGCATGTTACTGTTTATACATGTATTACATTTTTTGTTTGATTATTTAACTCTTTAAGTGGCAGACACATGATATCATCATGTCCGATCAGTTGCAGGCCAAAGGCAAAGTCGCACGGCATTAAAACCATATTACAGAAATAAGAAACTCGCATTTGCACATCTTATAATATATTTTGCCTGCCTTCTTAAGTTTTATTTAGATGACGAAAATGTGAAAACGGAGTAGAAAAATCTGTATGAATACAACGAAGTTATGCTTCTCTTTTATTAAAGTCCCAACAAACAGCGCGTATTCAAATGCAGAATACGCATCTTCAAAGAGTTGATATTCGATATTCCAGGTTGTGGCTTGTAGCCATTTAGGGTGGAGCTTTTGTGTTTTTATTGTGGCATATTGTTTTTTGCACTTGTTGACTTCATTCCACGAACGTCCCTTGGCGTCGCCTATGCCATGTTTTGAATTTATGTTCTTTTTTTTTTTGCAGACAACACATTGTATTTGTTGGTTGGTCGGTTGGTGATTTGTGTTTGTCTGGTACTGGTGCACATTTCACGTACCGGAGAAGTGTGTCTGGTCTTAAAACTTATCGAACGTCTTTGTTTCCTCTCTTCAAGAACGAATTCATTTTTAAAGAATATTTTTGCTGACAATTTTTGGAAGAAACCTAATTATCTCATAATACACTGTTTTAATAGGTAGCATTTTAACTTCCCTGTCCAAACTTCAAGAAATTTCTTGAATAACGACGCAATTAATCAGTGTAAACTAAACGTATTGCTGAAACGTTTTTAATGTCGTAAATTTACCTTTGAAAAAAATTAGTATACAAATCAGAGTCAAATAGTCAGTGTCTCAAACTATGGCCAAGGTATGAAATATAAGCGAGACCTATAACTTCTTTGTGGATGCTTTGATTCTTCTCACCAGACTTTATAACTTCCACCACTGAAAATGTTACATTGTCTACTATTGATCAAACCACAGCATCTACAACTGAAGATGTTACGTCCACCACTGAAGAAATAACATCTACCACTGATAAAACAACTACCACTGAAGAAATTACAACAACTTCTACCACTGAAGAAATTACAACAGCAACTACCACTGAAGAAATTATAACAGCAACTACCACTGAAGAAATTACAACAGCAACTACCACTGAAGAAATTACAACAGCAACTACCACTGAAGAAATTACAACATCTACCACTGATCAACCAACTACCACTGAAGAAATTACAACAGCAACTACCACTGAAGAAATTACAACAGCAACTACCACTGAAGAAATTACAACAGCAACTACCACTGAAGAAATTACAACAACTTCTACCACTGAAGCAGTTACAACACCAACTACCACTGAAGCAGTTACAACACCAACTACCACTGAAGAAATTACAACACCAACTACCACTGAAGAAATTACAACAGCAACTACCACTGAAGAAATTACAACAACTTCTACCACTGAAGAAATTACAACACCAACTACCACTGAAGAAGTTACAACAGCATCTACCACCGGAGAAGGTATAACTACCTGTAGTGTACTCTATAGAACAGTACATGTACTGCAGTGTCACCACTGACTTTACAAGGCACCTTTTCTACTATGGGTCTAACGATTATTTCTCTCTCTCTCTAACCGGTAAGACCAAAACTGGAAGTACCTACTTCTTGCACTGACTTTTTGTTTGTTTCAACCACGACGTAAATCCTCACCGTTTATAGAAAACAATTAAGCGTTCTTTTTTCCCATGGCTTTTTTCTTTTCTTTTCCTTTTTTTTTTTCAAAGTTTAGAATGCCTGGGGGAGGGGGGGGGGATTCTGTTGTTTTTTCTTTTTGTTTTTGTTTTTCTGGTTTTAGTTGTTTTTGTAGAACACACATTTCTCCCATGTTCTCAAATTATCACCCTCGTCTGCTCCGAGTTATATCTTTTTTACCTCAATTTTGGATGGACTCCTCCGCCCTTTCTGCAGAAACAAATAGTAGAAAAAACGTGTGGACCTTTATTTCTCAATAGAAAGACTGTGTTTCGACTGGAGTCGCTCCCAGTTTACATGACTTACTCCTCAATCAGCGGCAATGCATTAAAATAATGTTACAGTCTGTAAACATGTACGCATTTGGCGCTACTATCAGATTCTGGTTTTGTATGTCTCAACAGTTTAACTTACACATTTGGCGCTACCATCCGTTTCTGGTTTTTTATGCCGCAATAGTTTATCTTTGATTTTGATGTACAACATCCTATCATCATCATCATCACCATCATCAAGTGTCATATCTGCGACAGATATCGGCGGTCGTGGTGCCCCATCCATTCCTTTGCTCGGATGTTCTAAAAAAAAAAATTTTTTAACTGCACTATCGTGATCTTTCCCTGTCACCCGTCTACTAGTATTTAGACTCCCAAAGTAGGTTGCTCTGGGTCTACCTTTACCTAGTTTGCCCTCAATTTTGCCAGACAGTGAGAGCTAAATGTTCAAGGACATCCTACAGCATGAGTTTAACCCTGGTTTTCCCTTTGACGTTGTTCTGTTTTGAAACATGACTAACTTTCTTTTACTAACCCTGAACCCTGCTAACATGACATTGTTTTCTCTCTCTGTTGTATTATATATTTCT